CCTCCTCCTCCTCCTCCTCCCCTTCCTCCTCGTGCTCCTCTTCCTCGTCCTCCTCGTCCTACTTGTCCTCTTCCCCGTCTTCCTCGTCTTCCTCGTCTTCCTCGTCTTCCTCGTCTTCCTCGTCTTCCTCGTCTTCCTCGTCTTCCTCCACCATAACCTGATCTTATCCCCGTTCCCTCTTCTCTTCAAACTCCTCGAAATTCATAATTCCTTCTCCGACTTATTCAAGATTATTGCTGTACTGCAAATAATTAATTGTCGACTAGATTGGCTGTTCACGGTTTGACAACTTTGCGGCAGTCATCAGTACAGCGGTGAAAAAAGTTGAACCGAACTTGAATGACCTTTCGGAATTTGCTTTCCATGACTATTTGCGTAGTAGAGAGTCATAGCACTAGAAAATCTATCACTTCCATCTAGAAGAGCACTGCCCACGCAATGCAGGGCTCAAAGGAAACGAGGTTGCCTGCTGAAAATGTGCATACTTCGGAAAAAAAAAAAAAAAGGTGCTTGCTTCCAGAAACGTGTGAGGGCATTTGTACATGCAGTGCAAACAAAACAAAACAAAAAACTCAATGAGACACAGCCCTTCTTGTTAAACCATCAGCACAAGCGAGCCTCATTTTTTCTGATTCCAATTTCTGTCCCTCACCAAAAACAAAAAAAGAAGAGGTCGGCGCAGGCGCAAAAAATCACGCCTTTTTGCCGGGCAACGCCATCCTTTCTCCGGTTGGTAGGCCGAGCTCAGTAAGACGCGGTGCGTTAACCCGTGATTACTGAACAACATGTGTTTGGGATATCATGCCCCGCCGTACACGGACGGCCTCGAACCGGCACCCTCCTGTACAGAAGCAAAGTATCGTAACCACTACAACCCTTGGAGGTCATATAAAAACTGCATCCATACTGGTCGTGATATGCAGCCCACCTCCAGGGCTGTAGCGTCCTTGAACTCACACCACACACACACGCACACCACACCACGGACTTAAACAATCCACACACACTCCGCTTGGACAACACGCAGCTCACCACCGCTGCATCGGAAGAAAAGAGCTGGGAATGTAGTGGGCATAGTAAAAAAAAAAAAAAAAAAACAAACAGAGAGGGTTGGTTTAAACCACCAGTACTTCCGAGCCACTTTGCCCCGGGGCGTCAAACGCCCTGCGCACGAAAAGAAAAAACGAATAGCCGTCGTGGGCCTCCTTTTGGCTGGCACAGCCAGCCATTTTGCTTCGGCTGCCGACCCCGCAAAGTTGCGCTAGCATGGAATTCGCATTGCCGAAAAAATGGCTGGGAAATGTAGTGGTTGTTTAAGGTGAAGGGTTGGATGATGAACTTGGCTCTCACTGTATTGATAACTGCAGCAGAGAAGTAATCACAGAGGTGAGGGTGCAGGCAACGCACGGCGAACGCGAACGTCGAACTGTACTTCTAGAGGAGGGAGAGCGCCGGCATCTTCTTTTGAACACAACACAACCTGATCATGAATGCATACAAACTATGTTTCTGGTCTGGTATAGGAAAGGTGAGGGTGTGTTCTGTTCTGCTCAGGGGAAGATGATACTGTCGTCTTCCCCCAAATAGAACGTACGGTCATTACAGCTGTATTTAAAGGATGTTAAGTCTAGAATCTAGATACAGCGGTGATGACCGCATGTTCTATGTGGGTGAAGACGGAAATCATGGTAGCAGTACATATGCTGCACTCTTGTCATGATAACTTAGGTCATTCACTGTTCAAATTTCAAAGCATTTTCTTTCTTTTTTTCTTTCTTTCCTTTTGTTTTGGTCCAGAAATTACCTTTTAAACCCTTCCTCATACGGGGTCAGGGGCTCCATACGTTTTCCCAGAGTGGCGGCCACAATTCGAGTGATGTTCTCGCTGTTCTCTGTCAAATTAGTCAAGTATTGGGCACTCTCATCAAACGCCCTCAAGCTTGCTCGTATGCGGGGATCGGCCCAGGAGACATGCGCAACCAGACCTGCGATCAAAAGACAAACACCAGTTTCAGACAGGAGAATAATAGATGACAACAACCGAATTGGATATACAAAACAGGCAAGTTGGCACAAAGGCACTCGCATCAGAGTCGCATGCTGATGTGCGCATGGGGGGGAGGAGAGAGAGAGAGAGAGAGAGAGAGAGAGAGAGAGAGAGAGAGGAGGTTTGATGACAACGTTTTCCTTTGTGTCTTAAGTACTTGTAGACGAGTCCTGTCATATACGTATCTTGATGTCGAGCTGAGCAAATTGGCTCGAGCCATTTCTTGTTTTCCATCTTTCTTCTGCCCCCAATTTTTTTTCTTTCATTTCAAGTACAGTACATCCGACTGCTCAGTAGCGATATCAGATCCTGAGGCAAAACTCGTTCAGTTTATTTTTCTGCATAACATAGGTAGGCTGTTTTTTTCTGCCTGGCCAGGCAACCGGGCAAGCCGCCCCGAATACCCGGGCAAGAGAAAAAGTGTGGTCTTTCTTTTTTTTTTTGTGGCGGGAGTTTTCTGTGCTCTCCAGGATGAGCCCGAATCTGGGCTCTTTTCTTTTTTTCACAGTTGGCTGTAAAGGAGGCGGAAGGGGGGTATAGTTTGGCCTTAAAGGGGTTTAAGGGGGTTAAGGGTGGGTGCCTTAGTCTGATCCAGTGAGGAAGCCTGCCGTGACCCTCAGCCAAAAGTCGTTCGCATTGCAAATCTACACAACATTTTGTTTATCCGGATTTTTTTTTTTGCTTTTTTGCGCTGGGGCTGCCCGGAACCCTACCTGGGGGTCATCCCCGGCCGGGTAGCCGGGCATGAATTTGGGCACAAGTTGGGTGCCCGGGCGCCAGGGAACAGAACCGAGTAGCATAGTTTTTTTAACTTTTCGGATTTCATCATTTTTATTTTTTTTATTTTTTTTGCAGAAACTGTCCCTGGCCTATGCCTGGCGGGGCTGCCCGGGCAATCAAGCTGACCTGGGCTGCAGCCCGGTTGGTAGCCCGGCTATTTTACACACACATATATATAGATATGTGCGCGCGCGCGCGTGTGTGTGTGTGTGTGTGTGTGTGTGTGTGTGTGTGTGTGTGTGTGTGCATATCATGGCTCCAATTCTTAGGTGCTAATGGGTAAGCAGTACTGAGTACTAAGCCGGTCCCCGGAAGACGCTTCCCAGGGGCCCAGCAAAAATCAGATCCACACAATTGTGTCACGTGGTGCTTTATGTTCAGTTTCCTTTCAAGTGCGCAGTTGGGGGATCAAATAGCGAATGTAGGGGACAAACGGTGCAGAGGGTTTTTTGGGTTGTTGTTGTTTCATTGGTGGGTGTTCCATTTCAGGTGCTGATGGGTAAGCAGTACTGAGTACTGAGTACGAAGTACAGTACTGGGAAAGATGAGATACATCAGACGAAAGACTTAAAATGAAGTTGAATCGAATAAGCGAAATCAAATGACTCAAATCAACACAGCACTGAATCAACACAATAGAGTCTTAAGGCTGGAACTGTGAACGCAGAGGAGATTGAAGAACACTCGAAAGGAAAATGTCTTAAGGGTGGCGCTGTGATGCCTTTCGAGTCACCCATGTCTTTGGAAGGACAAGCATATGGCACACTGTGTGGCCTGTGTAGGTATTTGTTCTTTGGAGCTTGCATCCATTCTTTTAAGCTTTTTTTTTAATTAATTAATAATTATCTTATTGAATTACCTGTTGATGCATAGAAATCTGTCCCGCCACCGTATGCATGCCTCTGCGAGCGAACGATCGTGTTGATCCAAGCCGTCTGAACTTCATTAATGACATACACACTGCCAGAGGCTTGCCAACCCCCCTTATAGACGTTTCGTGATCTTGAATTAGAATAAACCTGCAAGAAATGAAACACCACGAGTGTTAATGACTGAAAGAATTTGATTGACGACCTACGCACTACCCGAAGCTTTCCAACCCCCTTTATACAAGTTTATAGATGTTTTGCAGACAGACAAAAAAGAAAGACAAACCGGGACAGAAAGTTCTAAGAAACAGAGAAAGAGAGAAAAAAAAAATGCTGGACTACAAGAGCGAACAGGAAGAGGTGAAAAGAAGGAAAAAGAAAAAAACAGGCAGCGGTGATTCCGGTGAAGAGGAGAGAATAGTGCTTCGGAAACCGGCTTTGCCATCGGCAGCACAGAACAACTCTTTTTCATTTGGGAAAATTTTCTAAATGCCCCTCCAACTTGCATTTATTTGCGGTATGCCCCTCCGAAGGCCGACTTACACTGTGGTGCCCCTGCGGGCTCTGAAGTTTTCTGCAGGCCCCTATCAATGAGGGGTGCAACTTTCCAGCATGCCCCTGTGGCCGTTGGTGGCACTCGCGGCCGTTCCCCTGGCCCTGGGAGGAGGAGCTACTGGGGCATACTTGAAATTTGGAACCGATACCGGTAGGGGCATATTGAACATATTTCAGGCCCAAACGACGCCAGGGTTTTTTCAAAAACTTCAATCGTTGTCAGAGGGTGCGATAGGGTAAGTCGGCCTTCAGAAGGGCATACCGCAAATAAATGGAAGCCGGAGGGGCATTGAAAAATTTCCCCTTTTTTTAAATTTATAGAGAAACATTGTTATCTCATTGATATCTTGAAATTTGAGGCCAGGGACCTCACAATTCAACCTGGAGTTATCCTGGCAGCATTAGCCAGTTTCGCTTATTATGGAATCAAACAATTTGTTTGTTTCTTTCTTAACTTTCCAGCAGCTTCTGAGACTGAGTGGTTAGAGAAAGACCATAGAGACTCCTGGGCGATGTTGAACAAAGGTCCAAAGGGTGAACATTTCGTGGTAGAAGTCAATGTAGGTGGCTGAAAGGTTGGCACCTTCGCAGACATAGGTTTTACACGAAACTTCATCAGCCGTGCTTGTATGGATAGGCTGCGCTTAGGGGACCAAGATCTGTAGCATCTACCATAGCCAACAAGCACTCCATGATAGTAAAGGACTATGTCAAGGACGTGGTCGGTACCTTCTCCTATGGAGGAGGGGAACTGAGACACAAGATCTCGTTCCTAGTGAGCGACGAGCTGCCATTTGACATGTTGCTAGGCATGCACTACCTCAAGGTTGCTGAGCCTCAGTTCGACTGGGATAGGAAGGTGATGATCCACAAGTTGCCAGATGGAAGGACCGTTAGGCTGCAGAAATTCAAGGCTAGAAGACTAGTGGAGAACTACGGTTGCATGCGCGCGTCGTTTTTCTATAACTACTACAAGCAAAACCGTGGGGAAGGAATGTACCTAGTCTTTGTCTCTGAGAAAGGGAAGGCTGTAAAATCTCCCCCAGAGATAGAAGCAGTCATTGCACAATATTCAGACCTCTTTGGGTGTGGTAGAAAGGGAGATTGTCCACGCGATAGAAGTCATCCCCGATAGCAAAGTACCTAGAGGTCGGATCTATAGGATGTCTCCTGCGAGTTAGATGAGCTCTGCTGCCAGCTGAAGGAGCTCACAGAGAAAGGCTGGATTTGGCCATGTACGCCCCCCTACGAAGCGGCAGTTTATGTGTCCCAAAGAAAGGGGGGACACTAAGGATGTGCATTGACTATAGGGGGCTCAATGCCATCACCGTTAAGAACGCGGAGCCCCTACCACGCATTGGTGGCCTCTTGGATAGAGTGCAGGGATGCTGGTACTTCACTAAGATAGATTTGAAGTCCGCACACCATCAGATTGCTATAAGACCTGAGGACCAGCACAAAACCGCCTTTCAGACCCGGTACGGTCTGTACGAGTTTGTGGTGATGCCCTTCGGCCTATGCAATGCTCCTGGGACGTTCCAACACACAATGAACCGGATCTTTCATGACTACATAGACAAGGTTATCCTCATGTACCTCGACGATATCGTTATCTTTAGTAGGACTGTAGAGGAGCACATTGAGCACGTGAAAACAGTGGTAGGGCTCCTAAGACAACACCAGTACAAGGTTAACTTGGAGAAATGCGACTTTGGTCGCACCAAGGTCTTGTGCAATCAGACTTGCATTCATTCACACTTCACATGTATGCAAACAGGTTGCGCGGCAAACTGGCATCAAGCGCCCACTCAGAACTCAGAGATATAGTACCAAGAACTCAGTTCAGATACAAGTTCACTTCCACTGCCTATGGCGGCACATCGCTTGTACAACTCTCAGTTTGTCACTCACTCGACACTGCTGTTCGCACACAGGATCACCCTGGATACCCCACACACAACACACTCTGTACAATCACACACACCCGCACACATCTACAACTATGGCGGCTATGGCCGCTGCTACCCTATCGTTATGGCTAATCTTCTTCTTGCCCACTTCGTCCTCGGGCTCACTGCAGACCACCTCTCACAAGTCGCTATGGCAGCGCTTCCGCATGGCTCAGGCAGGAATGAATGAATGGTTGGGCGTTGCCTCTTGATTTATACTTCTGTAACTCGCTGGTCTGCCCTTTTCCATCGGCCCATGGTGCACACAGTCCCTCATGGTACTTGCTGGACTGGACTGGGACTGACTGGACCGGTACCGCTAACTGCATGGGTTTGCACCACAGATTCACTACAGTCGCACTGCCAACATACTGAGGTTGGCTCCACCACTTGCCCACTTGCCTCTGCCTAAACGTGAGCCCACTCCGAAAGGCCACTTCCGGGACCTCCAAAAGTCTGTGGACTTGGCCTTTCGGGTACTATAGCGGCTACGACCTTGACCTTTAAGGACTGTAGCAGCTACAACCTTGACCTTTCAGAATACCTATAGCTACGACCTCTACAGAGTTGTGACTCCTACTTGACAGATCTACAAATCGAATCCCTACATCTGCACAACGAACAAAACACAGGTCACGGGTTCAAACACTCAGGGATCAACTCGATACTTTACACAAGTAAGATGAGGGATCGAGCCCTGTGATCTGCATTCGCTACTGCTAACAGGTGAAAACCATTTCACTTGTATCTGGGTCATAAAATTTCCGCGGATGGATTGAGGCCGGATGATGCCAAAGTGGCCAGCATACGTGACTGGCCCAAACCTCAGCCTGTGACTGAGGTGAGGTCATTCTTGGGGATGACAGGCTACTACTGTCCGTTTGTCAAGAGTTATAGTATTGTAGCCTCCCCTCTAACTGACCTCACGCGCCTTGATACCCCTTGGGAGTGAACCGAAGAGTGTGAATTAGCCTTTAAGAGATTGAAGTATGCTCTGATGCACTATGAAATCCTTAAACTGCCAGATCCTGAACAGCCCTTTGTCGTGCCCACATACGCCAACCAATACGGCACAAGCGCGGTCCTTGTGCAAAATGAAGGGAAGAAGTTGAGGCCGATCGAGTACATGAGAAAAAAGATGCCATCTATGAAATTAGCTAAGTCCACGTATGAGCGTGAGCTCTATGCCCTCTATAGAGCGCTGGTACATTGAAGGCACTACCTCCTCGACATATTATTTTATGTGAGATCTGACCATTAGACACTGCGCTGGATTAAGACACAGCCCGTGCTCTCCGACGCACTCAAGAGGTGGATTGAAGTCATAGATATGTACGACTTCAAGCTCGACCCTCTGAAGGCAGAGTGCTGATGCACCATCGTGTAGGGCAGACTATCTGGGCGCACTAGTGACTGAGTTCGGGATTTCTGACGATGTAACTCGATCAATGGTGGAAGCTTATCAAAGGGACGCTGTTATGACTAAGATCATCCGCAAACTGAAAGCTTAAAACAAGTCTACTTCCGATGAGTTTGTGCTGGTTGATGGCTTGCTGTTCCTTGAGAAGGCTGGGAATAAACGTTTGTGTGTTCCAAATAGAGAGTCTTTACGTAGTTTATTTTTAGGTGAGTGCCACGATGTGACCGAACATTTCGGCTATAAAAAGACGACAACAAATTTACTGCAGCGTTTCTGGTGGCCCACAATGATGGATGATGCAAGGAAGTATGTAGAAACTTGCCAGGTTTGCCAGTGTGACAAGCCACGGACGCAAGCACCTCTTGGGATTATTAAGCCCTTGCCTATCCCTGCTGGTCCCAGTCAGAGTGTGTCTAGGGGCTTCATGGATACTCTTGTGACCAGCAACAGCGGTAAAAGGCACATCTTCGTCATTACAGATTCAGTAAGTATGCTAGACTAATCGCTATGCCTGAGACAGATAAGACTGACCACGTCATCAAGCTGTTTATGGACAATTGGGTGCGTGACTTCGGTCTCCGGAAGCCCATTCTGAGTGACAGGGATGTCAGATTTACGAGCGAACTGTGGCAAAGTACGGCCCAACAGATGGGCACCCAACTACAAATGACATCACGGAAGCACCCTGATTCAAACGGACAGGCTGAGCGGATGAATCCGATAGTGTAACACTGGATTCGACATTATATTAAGCCGAGTCAGCATGACTGGGATGAGAGGTTACCTCTGATCGACAGTCTGTACTGTAACACTGTGCACAGCACTACCAGCATGACTCTCAACCACCTTCATCTTGGTTGGAAGCCCAGATCTGCTCTTGACTTTCTGTTGCCTAAACATCAGACAACTGCAGCACCAGGCAGCATAAAGTTCGCTGTCAAGTACGAACAGATGCTGCAGCAGGCTGTCTAACACATCAAGAAAGCTCAGGATGTCATGGTTGCATCTGAAAATAAACACAGACGACCATCATGATTTCAGGTAGGTGAATGAGTCTGGGTGAAGTCATCTGAATTGGGACAGGAATTGGGAATCTCCCGTAAACTGATGCCACAGTACTTTGGACTCTGGGAAGTCTTAGATATAGTAGGAGATGAACCAGACGGTCCCTCATATGTCATTCACATCCCTGGTCACCTTCGTACACACCCTGTTTTTCATCTAAGTTGGCACCTTTCGCTGAAACAGAACAGTTTCCCTCCCGACGATCAATGCTGCCCCCAACCATGGATGGACACATGGACATTGACGACATTGTTGAGCACAAGCTGATGACTGTGCCCAAGCCTCCAGGCAGGGGACGCCCTCCGGAACCGCAGATGCGGTATCGAGTGTGGTTCAGACATATGCAATGAGCCCAGACGTGATGATACTCGTCAACATTACCAGTCCCTATGATTATCGACCTGCTGATGAAATGACAAACAATCGTAATATGTGTGATGATAGAATGAGGTGAGAATCATACACAGACGAAGGAGGAGAGAGGGAGAATAGACAAAGGAGAGAGAAGAAGACAACAGCCCACTTCTACTTCGGATTCCTCCTCCTCCTCGCCACCTCATCAATCAATAGACTAAATACAATGTCTGAAGTTCCTCCTCAAGGTGCCACGTGGCACGTCAGTCTGTCTACATCAGCAATGGAGAGTATCGTCATCAACCAGGTACGTATCCTCGATAACCACAGTCTTGATCTCCTTCCGAAGTGACGAAGAATTAGAACAGCCTCATCAATCTCGCAGCCAGCCACGTCAACAATCATATACAGGTGGCAGCGGCCACGTCAGCAACGGCGCGTGGCAGCTGCCACGTCAGCATGCCCAGAAGACCATCGCCAGCCAGCACCTTGCCAGCCAGCAGCGCCTTGCTGTCCTCCTCTGCTAGCATATAGCCGGCGTCAAGCCAATGTCGCAATGTCGTAGCATAGCAACAGCGTCAAGTCCGCGCGTGAAGTCAGCATTCGCGCAAGACTGAATGTTCTCCAGCCAGGAAGTCAATTCTTAAATAGCGTGGATGCGGGGTCTGGACCCCGGGTACTGAGGTCCTGCACCGTCCAGATCTCTATATGAATGAGGGCCCAGATCGGCCAGAAACTGTATTTCTCCCGCCCTGAATGCTGTCTGGGTACCTGCACACAACAAGTGAATGTATCCGTCCATAGGCCTGGGTACGGTACCTTTGACTCTACAGTTGTCTTTGACTGTTGAATTTCCCTTGTGCTGCGTTTGGCCACACAGCCTCCTCGACAGACTCAGGCTGGGCATGTCTCGATCACATAGCCCAGCACAGACAACTGAGTCTGTGTCTTACCGGGGGCAAAGTTCTGAGCCCCGGTCTGCTGTTGAACAGGGTTACTGCACATAATACAGATCCTAAAGAAGATCGGTGGTTTACAAGAGAAGAATTAATGAAGACTGCTCCCCATATTATCTCAAGTTATGAAAGGAACTTGAAAGGAAGCAGCCTGCTGTGTAACGACGTCTCAGAGGACTATCGAAGTAAAGGAGGAGGGAGTGCGAGGGTGTACCCCTCGGCATAAGGCCCTGCAGCAGGCGCGTGCCCGCCCTAGGTGAAGGCGGGCCCCCTGAATCTCAATGTGGCATGAACTCGTCAATTTTTGCAAATCTTGGTGGGCGTCAGACAGTTGCCATGCGCCAGTTGGTTACATCCGCTTTGCTCGTGAGAATCAGAAGTATGAGTGAGCCTTCCAGGCTCTTCCAGCAACATGATCGAGGCAGGGAGCACCACACATTTGTGCCTGGGTGGTTGGGCATGCCTAACCAATTCGGTCCCAGGCCACTGTCGGCGCAGACACTTTGGCCGAGACTGAAGCTACTGGAAATGCGGCCTCAGAGGGGAAGCAAGGGAAAGCGCCCGCCATTTTCCATATAGGAAAGGGCGGGGCTCCAGAGACGGTAGTCGGGCACTAAGTAGTGCATGCGGCAGCGCTGCTTGGGCGCGTGCTCGTGGACTGTGCGATGTGCGCTAGAGTTAGGTGCAAGGCAGGCGCACACGGGCATTGAAGAGAAGCAGAGCACTGCTGAGGGCAGCGCCATAGCCAGCCCGACCATAGCCGGGCTCAGCTTGGACAGCCAGCGGGAGGTGGTGGTGATCTTCGTGTATGAGGGAGAAGACGTGGGTGAGAAAGTCGAGGGAGAGAGAGAGAGAGAGAGAGAGAGAGAGAGAGAGAGAGAGAGAGAGAGAGAGAGAGAGATGGGGTTGCTAATGTGAGGGCACATAGCTGGTCTTTGGCCATGGTCTACGAGGGTCGACATCCTCATGAACTTCGGTTCTGCTGCTGACGTCAACTGGATGCATTGTCAATTCGTAGGCTGCTAGTAAGCTGTGTGATTGTATTCTGGGCGCTGAGTGCCAAGTAGGAGGAAGGACTCTGGATACAGATGTTGGTGGTGGCGAGAGTATGCTCTCATTGACATTCCGATTCAATGCTTTGGTTCTCCGTTGGTGGAATATCAGTGCGTTTCTGCTTTCTGGACAGCGTTGGACTTGCTGGTTCTCAATGTGATTTTGCATCCTGGATTTCTGTCATTTCCCTATATCTCATTTTCCTTGCCATTACGTAATGAATTTTATTATTTTTATTATCTTTGTGTCCAACAGTTCAAGAGTAATACACTCATATCTTAAAATAGGCGGGCAAAACTCATTTTCTAAACTATATATAATATATATATTTATATATATTATATATCGTCAAATAGAACTGCCCGGTAAACCGTAGGCAGAGAGGGAGAAGAGGACAACAAACGAGGGGCTGTGACAAACTGTTTCGTCGGAGTTTCACCGACTCATTATATATGTATATATATATATTATATATATATGAGACTCCGACGAAATAGTTTGTCACAGCCCCTCTTTTGTTGTCCACTTTTTATATATATATATTATATATATAATATATATATATAAAAAGTGGACAACAAAAGAGGGGCTGTGACAAACTATTTCGTCGGAGTCTCATATATATATAATATACATACATATATAATATATATAAATATATATCGTCACAAACAGAACTGCCCGGTAAACCGTAGGCAGAGAGAGAGAAGAGTCGGTGAAACTCCGACGAAACAGTTTGTCACAGCTATTATAGTTCAAATAAGGAAGGGCTTAGAAACAAAAAAAGAAAAGAAACACTAGAACAACTATAGTTAATTCAAGCAGACTTTCATACCTGTAGTAGTATGGCATATATATAGAGCGCTTAATGGGCCATTTGTAAAACATTTGTACTAAAGTATATCTTGAAGCCATTGCCAGTGGAAGTGAAGCCATGAAGATAAGGACCCTTTTTCCCCCTAAAAAAGATTGAAAAGAAAAAGAACTTCAATAGGCACAATGATGATGCCATTGACTAAAACTTTCAGATTTATTTTTGTTCTTTTGTCATTATATAATTTATACTCATCTGATTAATTAGATCATATGATATCAATTTATTTTGGTAGTTCCGCAAGTACTATTCGTAATTCAGCAAACTCCATGCGAGTGCATAGCCCTAGAATGCAAGATAGCTTCTTTTTTTTTTTT